AATTCAGCTTATGAACAAATATATATGGTACATCACTAGTGAATGTTCACACTACGCTCCCTCTGTTGGCAGAGCACATCCACACTTGGAACTCTATCATCGACGGTCAGAGCAGTACACTGTGGTAGCTATCCCACTGTGCTACTCGCCATCTTCTGCAGCTAGGACTTGTGGGAAGGCGGAGTGGATTGCAGTGCATCAGGGGTGCGGGCTCAATGTTCCTTGATGAAGTTTATTTCCATCCCAGCATTCCATGTGCTTCTGACTGCGTTTTGTGGCATTTTTCAACTGCCCCTGTTTACTGTGTGCCCCCCATCTCTGTCTTAAAGGATGGATTCCCACACTGTTCTCTATTGTTGTGATAACTATTATGGACACATTGCAGATGCTCAGGCAGTATATCATGAGCTCCCAATCTGAACAGGAATCAGATTTGCCTTACCTGCTGTGTGCTGTGGAAAGAAACAGCACCAGATTACTTTTGGCATTCACAGAGCAGCTGCATACAGTGGACCATAGCTTTTGGGCTCAGGAAGCAAGCATTGAGTGGTGGGATTGCATCATTATGGAGGTCTGGGATGACAAGCAGTGGCTGCAGAACTTTCGGATGCAGAAAGCCACCTTCCTGGAACTGTGTGGAGTTCGCCCCAGCACTACAGCGCAAGGACACCAAAATGAGTTGCCCTCTTGGTGGAGAAGCGCATGGCGATCGCTGTGTGGAAGCTGGTGACTCCAAACTGCTACCAGTTGGTCGCAAATCAGTTTGTAGACAGGAAGTACACTGTTGGGGCAGAGTTAACACAAGTGTGCATGGCCATTAATTGTATCCTGCTGCAAAGGACAGTAACTCTTGGCAATGTGCATGAAATAGTGGATGGCTTTGCAGCAATGGGATTCCCTAACTGTGGAGGGCAATAGATGGCACGCATATTCCCATTTTGGCCCCAGATCATCTTGTGATGGAGTACATCAATAGAAAGGGATACTTCTCTATGGTATTGCAGGTGCTTGAGTATCATCGTAGGCATTTCACTGACATCAATGCAGGGTGGTTCGTGAAGGTACATGATGCACGCTTCTTCAGGAATACTGGCTTGTACAGAAAGCTGCAAGCAGGGACTTTCTTTCCAGACCAGAAGATTCCAGTAGGGGATGTTGAAATGACCATAGTGATCCTGGGAGGCCCAGTGTACCCCTTACTCCGATGGCTCATGAAGCCTTACATGGGAAACCTGGACAGCAGCAAAGAGTGCTTCAGCAGTAGGTTGAGCAGGTGCAGAATGACCATAGAATGTGCCTTTGGCAGATTAAAAGCATGCTGGTGCTGCCTTTATGGCAGATTAGACCTGACTGAGGAAAACGTTCCCATGGTCATAGCAGCCTGCTGCATGCTCCATAATATTTGTGAGGCTAAGGGTGAAAAGTTTCCCCTGGGGTGGAGCACTGAGGCAGATTGCCTGGCTGCTGATTTTTGAGCAGCCAGATACCATGGCTATTAGAGGGGCACAACGGGGGGCTATTAGAATCAGGGAGGCTTTGAGACACCATTTTGATAATGAGCACCAATAACGGTGCATTTCTATACCGCAATCTGCCATGCTTCATTAACTTCAGTTATCTTATTTTGCCTAAAAATTGTGGTGATTCCTGAGCAGGATTTGTACTAAGCAAATGATTAAACTGCACCTATGCTACCAGTGGCAATCACTATGTGTAGGACACAAATAAAGAGTGGCTCTCTTAAAGAGAGTTTGTTTTTATTAAACACCAGTTAACACACACAAAAGGCGTGGTGGGAAGGAAGAAAACAGTGAAGAGCAGTGCAGGTATCATTTTGGAAGTTGTCTAAAGGCGTAGAGTGAACGGGGTACCAAGACATTCTGATAAGTTGCAAGGAAGATGTGGGAGGAGTTTGGGGAAGGAATGGAAAACAGTTCTGTATTAGCTGCGGGGGAGGGGGGGGCGGAAAGCACGTATCTATTCTGACTATTGGGTGATATAAAACTCACTTTATATAATCTTGAAAAGAGAACCATGATTTACTTAAAAATACTCCTCCATCACTTTTATCGTCCACTCTTGGTCTTTAGAATGTGCTCCTCACACTCCTTTCTGTCCTGCCTTTCATTTTCTTTCCACTCACTGGGTTCACTTTTTTTCGGCCTCTGAGGATTGGAGCACCTCTCAGAACATGTCCTCCTTGCTACAACTTGGTCGCTTCCTTATCTGGAGAAGGCACTCTGCTGCTGTGTTGGGGGTTCCCCTGAAGGCTACATCTGCAGAAGCACAAGAAACAATACATAGAAGCATAATTGTTAGTTCATGCACAGCATTCAATCATTACAGTAAAATATACCTCTTGTAACATACCAATTACTTTCTCATTGACCCTTGGCAAGCACACAACTCTGCAAACAGCCTAAACATGGTGAGTTCGGCCCAGGTGGGGTGTAGGTGATGTTTTCAGGGGATCAGTGAAGGCAAATAGGGTCAATATTGTAAATTCTGCCACCATTTTCCACAGGCAATGGTCATCGAAGCCGATCTCTCACTGCTGAGGGTAAGCAAGGATGCAGGAGTGCATCTACTGCACGTTTGCAGGTTCAGACCCGCTCCCTATGCTGCTCACCTGTATGCCACTTTGGTCCCTGCACAAGTGATTGCCGAGTGGTGCTGGAAAGTTTCTTACAATGGGGAAAGGAACAAAGCAGCTCTGCCAAGGAACCTTCGGCAGAGGATCGGCAAGTACCTCCAGGGAAGATTCCTAGAGATCTCTGGAGGATTCCTGTGAAATCTCGGTGTGCGTTAACATACTGTTCTTCCGCGCTGCTTAGCTGCACTGTGGAATGGGGAGCACACTCAAACACAGCTAGTCTTGCACATTTCTATCCCTTCACCCACTTGTACAGCTGTTCTTTGCTCTGTATATTGTAGCTCATATAACTGAGCAGCATCAACTCAAAAAGATCACTTAGGAGGGCTCTCATTGTCTGCAACATGTGCACCAGAAACAGACTACTGGGATTGGCTAGATCCCTCTGGAGTGTATTTCTCTTAACCCTTCTATAGAGATCTTCTCCAACTCTTTAATGAAGCTAGAAAGGCATTTAAAACTAAGCTTCCACCACTTGGTTTTCTTTACTGCTTTGGACTGTTTTCTTCTCATGAATGATATGTACCCATAGTCAAGAACCAGCATTCTGTGCTGAGTTACAATGCTTTCTCTGGGAATGACCTTACAGTTTTTGATGTTCTTCAGTTCAGTTTATCAGGAAGCAGTTCATCTGTGCCCCTATGCTACCACTCTTAAAGGTAATCATTCTTCCTTGGTGAAAAAATGTATTCACTATCAAATCATATATCTGAGCATACTTTCCTTGTTCCTGTGTCTATATCCACAACTGCCATTGTACCTTTTGAAGCTTTACCTTCTCTCCCATGTGACCATTAAAGTTGGCACTAGTGATTCTTTATCACTTTCTGTTTAATAGTGTCTGTTTTCCCACTTGTGATGCATCTGAGCAACTTTTAGGGGGCCGTTTTCAAGAGCTTGCTTAACCAAAATAACCTATTTCTTATCCTATCCACATCCACTACATATTCCCACATTATTTTGTCTAAAACTGTACCAACTCTCTCATATTAGATATGCCACAGTATAGTAGCTTATAGCCTTCCCCAATATCTTTTGCCTTTGCTCCCTTCCATTTGGTTTCTTGAATTCAGGCAATCTGTACTTTCCTTTTCATTCATGTTTGAATCAGCCCTTCACTTTTCCTGGTTAATGTCTGTGTTCCAAGATGCCAGTCTTATTTTCTGGACTCCCATCTTTGAACGTATCTGTCCAGAATGATGCAGTAGCCCTTGCAGTAGCACGCAGATGAGGTCACTACTCTTTGCTTCCGGGGAGCACCCTAGTTCATATGAGGCATATAAAGGACACATTTAATGGGATTTCTTTGGCAAAGGTTTACGGGTGGCTGCTAGCCTTGACACCACTCTCTTCCTTTTTTTTAACTGGCTTGGGACTGGCTGTGGTGGAGTTACTCAGTTCCATGGTTGTGGTGGACAAAAACAGTCTGGTCAAGTATTACATTAGCAGTAATACAGGTTGATCTGAATGTTTTAATTCTAGTAGACAAAAATGATTAAACAAATTCTTCCATTTGGCTAAATTTTTAATTAAGAAAAAATCCCTGATATTCATTCATAAGGCTAAAAATAGAGCTCATGCATTACACTGAGGTTTATGTAAAAATGATCCTGCATTTAACCAAATGAAAATGAAACTTTAAGTTCCTCTTTGTTTGATCTTGTGAAAAAATTCCCCCCTCCCCCCCCAAGAGTTCTATTAAAGTTGACTGTGGCTAAAGTTTGCCGTTTTGTTCATGTTCTTCTGCAGAAGCTTTTTTGGTCTAATCCTGCAAAGGCTTATACATGAATATCTTTTCTCATGTGAGCAGTTCCATCAGATTGAATAGGGTTACTCACAGGAGTGGTTACTCACTAAAGTCTTCATGGAATTGGGGAATTAGTCCATTGCCCTGTAATAAGCTCCATGTGAGCAGACTCTCTTTGAAATCAGTGAGGCTTGTTATGGGTGTAGGAATCGAGGCCTTTTTTGATGGAGTAAAAGTAAAATATCTTTTTGCTTTTTCATCACCAGGATGATGGCAAGGGGATTGAGAAGATTTTGTGCCTGGGCTGGTAAATGATAATGACTATTTTGCAAGTCTTTCATACAAAACTACAAATTGACATGACATTAATATTTTAGATGTAACATTATTGTATATGTAGTTTTGTAAATAAATGGTTTTCAATAACTACCATTATGCCTGATCTTTTTATTTATTTTTAAACAGAGACCATAGGCAAGTTCCTGCACTCACAGCATTACTGTACATTTTCCCCCTCACCTTTCCCCTCCCCATAATGGCATATTTATGAATCTGAAATCACTTCTCTGAGGCTTAACTTTTTCTAATTTATCTTCACAGGAAAGAGTGGCCCTGAGTGCAAGCACTGTAGGGCAGACCCAGATACAGAATGTCGCTTTTGCTCCTGCTATTTGTGTGGTGGAAAACAGGATGCTCACATGCAACTTCTGTGCGATGAATGTAATATGGCCTACCATATATACTGCCTGAATCCACCTTTAAGCAAGATACCAGAAGATGAGGACTGGTAAATATAAAAGGATGATACTTTATGCAAAATACTGTTCTATAAAATGTGCCTTTACTATTTGAGACTAAAACCCTATAGGAAGGATAGGGCTCATTCTATTAGAGCTAAGGTACCTTGCTCAGCCGTCCTTAGGAACATTGCCGTACTGGAGAATTGCAAAGACACCACCTGGAACTCCATTCATGTCTTAGTAAAACATCAATCCTTGGACTTGGACAGTGCATATATGATGCCAATTTTGGCCAAGTATTGCAATCCCTATTCAATTAGGACTCCTCAGACCCTCTACTAGTCTTACGGAGACTGTTTCTTAGTCACCAGAAGTGGGATCCACACTGACAATACATAAAGAAGAAAAACAAGTTATTCACCTTGTCAGTAACTAGATTTTCAGTATGGTTTGGGTGTGTGGATCCTGCCTTCCTCTGCTCTACTCTGGAGTCCTATGAATATTTGGAACTCTGGACTGGATGGGAACTGAGTGGCAGTTGAGACTACTAGGCCATATATTCCCTCAGGTGGGACATCTAGGGCATATTTACAGCTCCCCAGACACTCCTGGCCAAAAGATTCTGAACTTATACCCAAGAAGTGGGATCCACATGTACAAAAATCTAGAAGAACCATAGTGACTGATGAGGTATATAACATTTCTTTTTATTTTAAAATTTAACTTTGTATTGTTTGCACTACAGGCATATGCGTTCTGAGTTTTATTCATGAAGGTAGATGAACTGTTCTGGCCAGGGAAGCCAGTGCGATGGAATGGCAGAGCTATGGCCTTGCTTCTTGTCCACTTCTCGTAGGTTATGTAGCGTTGCTAATCCTACGTGGTCCTTGCACTCACTTTGGTGCAAAGGACTTCAATTCTGCAATGTAATGCCGCTGCACAGAAATGTAAAAGCGTGTCTCCTTTTCTCTTCCTGCCTTGCATACTAATATAGGTTCATGGCAGAGTTTGACCCTTAGTTGAATACCAGATATTTGTTTGTTTTAAAAGTGGGAAATTGTCCATTTTAAATTTTAATAATTTAAACTTGGCAGCCCCCAGTTCTACCCCACAGTTTGGGAAATACTGATAAGGCATTTTCATACAGATCAGAACCAGTCTATTTATATGCTAAACAGTATTTAATATTCCATACAAAGCTCAGTTAAGGGAACATTAAGATTGCTTGGTTAAGCAATCTTAAAGCAGGAAATGCCATAGTTAAAGCTGCATGCACACTTTCAAATTTACCTTATTGTGAATATGCATTATTCCACAGTCCTTTTTATTGCATACTACTTTTCAAATAATAGAATATAACTTTATACAGTTTTTGCGATAAACTTAGATACGGATGGCTAACTCTGTTTTTTTCATTCCTTACTTACACTAATTTCACTGTCCTAGTGAAGTACCTTTATTGACTTAGTGTGAAATACTGGCCCCATTTAATAGGAGTCTTGCCATTGACTTCAATTCTGCCAGAATTTCACCCTTAAACTTCTTGTATTAGTTTGTCTGTCACCATCCATGAACTCTTTACATTTTATTTTTTAACCAGCAGCACAACCTGTCTTGTGTGAAATTCAAGGAATAAGTCAATTGACTAAGAAATTAAGTGTTCACACAAACATAGCACAACCTTTTTAAGCTGCTCACTGTAAAAATTTAGCGAAAAATGCAGTACAAACTGTACTGTACATGCACAGCATGAGATGTCAGAAGACTCCTAACTAGGTCAAATCCAAACCCATTTTCCATGGAACACTTGAAGGTATTTCTGATTAAGGGTCTTGATCCTGCAAGGTGCTGAGCACTCTAGCTCTGGTGCAGCAAAGCACTTCAACATTTGGTTAGCTTTAAGCAAATGAGTAGTCCTACTGCCTAATTTCAGCAATTTCCAGCTCAATGGGACTGCTCATGCTTAAGTACTGTGCTTTGGATCAGGTCCAGAGTGCTCAGCATATTACTAGATCTTGCCCAAGAAGAAGTATTTCAATGTCAAATGTGTAAACTTTCAAATCCTTGCTCTTTTGCTGTATGATCTTGGGAAATAAACTTACCATCTTTGTACCTCAGTCAGTATATATGTGACACTTCCTGGGGTTACCCAGGGTTGTGAGGCATCTCACTACCACCTGCCATTAGAGTGAGGACGCTTTGTCTGTGCCTGCCAAGGTCAGCTCCCTCGCAAGCATTCTCCTCTCAGCCTAGGCAGGCTCTGCTGTCCTTCTGCAAGTTGGCCACAGGCTCTCCCCCAGGCCCTCTGAGCATCTCTTTAGAGTGTCCAGCCCCAATCCGTTGAGTACTCACACAATTCCCAGATCCTCTGTTCCCAAAGAAGCAGTATACTTCTGCTTACCAGCTTCACCTGAGATCACCACTGCACACAGCAGTTAGATAAGTTTATAGTAAAAACAAGAAGTATATTTAACAAAATACAAAGATTCAAATGATAACAAGTAGAAATATTTGGGAACAACTGGTTACATGTAAAATGAAATTATAACCTGCTTTATAGAGTTAACTAACAAGACATTTTCCTAGCTAATGAAGTTTAGCTTACCAAAGTCTTTCTCCCAGCGTTTAACTGTTAAGCTTGGCTGTGACCCTGTCTTCATAAGACAAGCACACTGTCAGCTTGTCCCTTAGGTGAAGGAGGTAGAATCTTTCTCTTTACCTCCAGTTATAGTTCCAACATTCCTTTGTCTTTGTTCATAATCAGAAACCCACCCCTCACCCCCCATTACTTGTTTTTCCTGTGGAGAACCTCCTTGTAGTTTTCACAATTTCTTGATTAGCATTTTGCTCAGTCTGTAAATAGACAACCATTGTGAAGTACACAATACTCAATTTACCTATAGCCAGACAGATGTGTCTCCTGCCTGAAAGCAACTTATTAACACTTCCTGGTGACAGGCCTAATTCACAGGCATTAAGAACATAATTTTCACTGTATGTACACAACTTCTTGCATATTATCCATACATACATTTCTCAATGATTATGATGACCAATATGACACAGGCTTTCAGCAGAGACCTTAAATGCCACCATTTGGCAAACTATTATGTAGATACCAGATCCAGGGGATCCCAGTAACTCTTATGCACTCTTATGCCCTCTGCCAGTTGGCATAAAGAGGTTCCTGTTTCACAACATAATAGGTTTGTTATAATATATACCTCATAAGTATGTTGTGAGTTTTTCTTAGTGTGGTTCATAGTCAGAAAAGTGACAATGGCAGCTTCTTATTCTTGTTGTTTTTATAGCCAGCCATGCAGAACTCACACAGGTTAAGTGTAATCTGGCTCATACCTCACTGTTCAGCCAACCTCAAGGTCAAAATCAGATCCTTCAGTTACACCTGTATATCCATATTGAAGACAATGAGATTGCACAAATTTGAATTGGAGGTGGAATTAGGAGTTACTTTTTAGTTAGAACTCTGCTTTAATATATCCTTTAAGTATTTTGAGAATTTAGGATGAAAAGTACAGTATAAGTGCAAAGCATTATTATTGTCATCATCATCAGTTATATTACACTGGAATTTTTTGAGGTTGGCAAAACCTTGAAAATATGGATTAATCAACATGGTTCTGGCTACAGTAAATATGTTGCCATTAGGTTAATCAATTTTAAAATCTGTCAAAACTTTTTTTAAGGTACTGTCCTTCCTGCAAAAATGATTCTAATGAAGTTGTAAAGGCTGGGGAAAAGCTCAAGCAGAGTAAAAAGAAAGCAAAGATGCCATCTGCCAGTACTGAGAGTCAGCGAGACTGGGGCAAGGTAAAGTGTAATTCAAGAATAAATATAACTCTGTGTGTGTGTGTGTGTGTGTGTGTGTTATATCTGTGACTATACATATAAATTAACTGTGCAAAGTTGAGTACTAAATTACACATCATGCAATCTTCAGTGGAATTGCACAGTGTGTAAACCAATGCTGAATTTTGCCCATTGTCTCCAAAAGTTAAAACAGTAGAAATCCTTTTTTTTTAATTGACTAGAGACAAGGATTATAAATAAAATAATAAATAACAATTAGAATTTACATAAAATTTATTGAAAAAATGTATTTAAAACATTTTTATTATAATAGAAATCCATATGTCTGCATCAACTTTGAAAGGAAACTTAAATATAATAAAATTAGTTTCTTCTCTCTGATATGTTGGTAGGGTATGGCTTGTGTTGGTCGTACTAAGGAATGCACTATTGTTCCTTCTAACCACTATGGACCTATACCTGGCGTTCCTGTTGGAACAACCTGGAAATTCAGAGTTCAGGTATGTTGGTTTAGAATTCTCTATTGGGTATAGGTTGGGTACAAGAATGGTTTTGGTATTGATTGCTGTCATTTTCACTAGAATAAAGAACAGTGGGCACATTTAACAGTTCATTCTGGTTTTAGAGCTACTACTGTTTGTAGTGATCAATAGTATACTTAAAATGGGGGAATACCGCTGGAATTGGTAATACCTCCAAAACTAGAATGAACTTTTGAAATGCACCCACTGTAATTAGGTCTCATCTTCAGTCTTTGATATCAAGATCCTGAATGGAACACTCAGTGTGCTATCGGATTAGACTTTAGAAAATGTTTAATGGCTTTACCACAAAGTGGCACAAATCTTTCTCAGGTGAGACATAACTGATACCAGTACCTTCAATTGTTTCCTCTTTTCCCCTGCCTCGTCTGACATTGAGAAATACTGTGACTAATCAACATAATTGATTTTTGTTTTTCTAGTTAGGAAAGTAGTCATTTTTTATTTTCAAAACTGGCTAATTCTTTTTCTCCTGCTTTGACTCTACTGATTTGGACAGAAATAATAATTCTATCCAATCCATCTTAATAGAGGAAAACTCCTTTTTTGAGGGTGGAGGACCTAGTTTGGAGAATGAAGACATCTGAAAGCCCCTCCTTCTGGCATGTTTGCTGAACTAATTGTCCTCCCATTATCTCTTCCTCCAAAGAGGAGACCAGATATTTCCTTTTCTACGTTTAATGAAGTTGTTTGGCAAGGGGTACTTTTTTACTTATGGAAAACAAGTTTCCCTTTGTATTTTTTAGAGGAATTTTATATTTTGGAATGGTATGTGGGTCTTGGGGAAAATTTCCATGGCATCAGAAATTTTCTCTTGTGCTTATCACTTAGCAGCAATGTTCTCGTTTCCTCACCTACTCATTCAGCCAGTAGTTTAGCTGCTTCCTACTTAGCTGCAGAACAGATTAAGGACGCTGTCGGTGGTTCAGCAAAGCGAGTTTGACACCGGACACTAGCCTATCTTCCTTTTTAGAATCACCATTTTGCTTCTAGAACTTGCTAGCTTTGTATTTTTGCTAGAAGGTTGTTTGGAATCTCATGGGAGATGGAAACATAGTAGTTGGGAACTGAGATTATGGTCCTTCCAGAGTCTCTGAAAAACCAACCAAAGGATGAACTTGAGTTCCAGCTCCAATTTCCCAGGTTGCAGAGATCAGTCAAATTGTTCTCCAAAGTTAGGTCCAGCGCTCTGGTGCCAATAAAAATAAAATAAAATAAAAATCAGATAAAAGCAGTTATTCTCCTTGAAGGAATCCCATTGCCACAAAGGGAAGAATGCATAAACCTGATAAGAAAGTAGCTCCTAAAACTCAGAAACACAAGCATTCATCTTAAATGTTGACCTTCTCAGAGGATTTGTAAACTCTTCAGAACATACTGTCTGCATATGTGTTTTTACAGCGACTGGTGTTACTGTAATACAAATAATAATGAGGAAGGATCTGTATTCAAAATGTAGGAAGGGCTCTTTTCCTTTAGAAGCCTTTGAGATGATACTGCAGTAGATGGTTAACTTCATAGGTTTTACTCCTTAATATTTGAGTGCCTAATCTGTTAAAGCAAGATCTTCTGCATCATGTAGACACATTCCACTTAGCTGCATGGATTTGAAAAGATATAACAACAAAAATCTACTTTGTCCAAGTGATAAACATCCTGTTATTTTCCAATAACTAATTTAGGACTATAGAATATACCAAAATCTGAGAAAAATTCAGTGCATGGAGCAGAACAAAAATGCTTAAAGTTAAATCATCCAATATTGCCCTAATCCTGTATTTCTTGTAGGATGGATTTTAGCTAGAACTACTGAAAGTGCTTTGCAAACATGCTTCTACTGTTCCCCGGTATTCTAGGAGTGGACAAGACAAAGTTGAGCTCTTCACATCCCTATTGTGAGACATTTCTTGGAGTTTCAAATCTTTGTAACCCAAAAGCCTGTTGGCGACTGAATTTGGTTCTAGACTCTTACAAAATCACAGTTTGAGCATCTACAGTGTGTAAGAGAGAGCCTATTGTCTCGAGTTTCCTTTTAGACGATATTTAGACAATATGCTTTTAATTAGTGAAATACATACCTTTTTATGTACAGCCACAACCCTGGAAAATTCGAGGCACCAAGACTAGGGATTTATCCTAAATACAAATTATCTACCTTTAATTATTCACTGTACAGGCAAGTAAAGTGTTTGTTTTGTAAAAAGAAGAATAAAACCAGGGTAACATAACCTACTTTCTTGGTGGAGTCAGGGATCTTTTGCCCTGATATTTCATTCCATTGCACTGGATTTTATACTGATGTCAATAGAATTACACCAGCATAAAACTAATGTAGGAGGGTTAAATCAAGCCCTAGATGTTAAAGGTAGGTCTTGAAGACAAGCCCTTATGCCACATTTAGGAACAGGATCTGTTTTATAAATTCTATCCAAAAAAAAAAAAAAGAACTTACTATTGAGAATGTAATTTTCATAGATTCCAAGGGCAGAAGGGACCATTGTGATAATCTAATTTGATCTCCTGTATAACACAGGCCACACAACCTCCCCAAAATAATTCCTAGAGGATATCATTTAGAAAAACATCCAATCTTGATTTAAAAATTGTTAATGATGGAGAATCCACTACACCCCTTGATAAATTGTTCTTATGGTTAATAACCATCACCATGTCTGAATTTGTCTAGCTTCAACTTTCAACCATTGGATTGTGTCATACCTTTCTCTGCTAGATTGAAGAGCCAGTTATTAAATATTTGTTCCCCATGTAGATATTTATAGACTGGAATCAAGTCACCCCTTAACCTTCTGTTTGTTAAGCTTAACTAGATTGAGCTCGTGGAATCTGTCACTATACAGCATGTTTTCTAATCTTCTAATCCTTCTCATGGCTCTTCTCTGAACCTTCTCCAGTTTATCAACATCCTCCTTGAATTGTGGACACCAGAGCTGCACACTATAGTACAGCAACATTCTCCCAGTGCCAAAAATAGAGATGTAATATCCTCTCTACTGCTATTCAGGATTCCCCTGTTTGTGCATCCCAGGATCACATTAGCTCTTTTGGCCACTGTGTCACACTGGGAGCTCCTGTTCAACTGATTTTCCCCCATGGCCCCCAAATCTTTTTCAGAGTCACTGCTTCCCAAGATGAAGTCCCATCCTGTCAGTATGGTCTGCATTCTTTGTTCCAAGATGTACATATTTACATTTAGCTGTGTTAAAATGCATATTGTTTGCTTGCACCCAGTTTACCAAGCAATCCAGATCTCTCTGACTCAGTCATTTGTCCGCTTCATTATTTACCACTCCCCCAATTTTGTGTCATTTGCAAACATCAGTGATGATTTGTTTTTTTCCTAGGTCATTGATGAAACACACCCACTCAATGATGGTTCCCTGTTTACAGTTTTGAGCCCTATCAGTTAGCCAATTTTTAATCCATTTAATGTGTGCCATGTTAATTTTATATTCTAGTTTTTTAAATCAAAATATTATGCGGTACCAAGTTCAAACACCTTGCAGAAATCTAAGTATATTACATCAACCCTATTACCTTCATCAACCAAACCTGTAATTTCATAAAATTAATTCAAGCTATTTACCGTTTACTTGTATATTTCCTGAAAATTCATTCAGTACTCTGTGTAACCTGTTAGTTTAGGAAGGATTCACTGTATTATTCATAATAAAGAGGTTGAATTCCTTTTTAAGGGCAAAAGTCAACCTTAACTATGCAGTTGTGACAATTCCTTTGTGGTAGCAGTGAGGCAGGTGAATGCCAGTCTAGTTCTACAGACCCTTCCTGACCGTGATACTGAGGTGAGCTGTACCATAGATACAGCCATCTGAGAATGACAAAGTTAAGTAATTTCTGTTTCGTCTAAAATTACACTATGGCTCTGCATTTCTATGTATTTTTCACAAAAATACTTGTTGTGTTTGAGTAACCCCTTAACATTTTTGTGAGAAAAAGTGTAATTTCCATTGTAGTATGTTTTGTGATATTTTGACGGACTGTCATCATGTCATTTTCAAAACACATATTTATGAAGAGAATGAAAGTAAGTGGTTCAAAGTGCAATTGTATTCTGAAAAGCTGATCTATAAAAATGGAATTGCAGAGTTCTGTGTTTAATATCTCTTGTTGATTTCCAGATCAAATATTCTCAGGTTATAAATAAAAAGACAACTTTTCTAAGAATCAGTTCCACAAATTCAAGTTGTGATCTGAGAGTCGTGTTGTATTCTTTCTGGCTTACCCATCGTCAACAGTAATGAAAATTATGCATTTGGAATTTCGTTAACAATTCTGTTCATGGCACACAAACCAGAATAGACCCCCAGATAATTCTCTACAGCTGTTTACTAATGGAATAAAAAGTAGTATAAAATTTTTTGTCAGTAAGTCAAGCAGATGAGACTTAGAACACAAACACAGGGAGCAGTATATTCAGTAAGATGGTATCATTTGTACATAGTCACTTTAACTATATCCGCACATTAATATTTTAAATTGTTTCATACTTATTTTGTTTGTTTTTTAAATTCTGAAGTCTTTTCCTCTCTCTCTCTCTTCCTCTCCCCCCCCCCCCCCTCCAATCTGACTTGAGTGCTCTCCATCCTGATACATGGGCTCCTGATAATGGATTCTTAAGAATTCAGGGCCAGCATTTTTCTCACTTTCTTCCTTTTTTTAGTTTCTCATGCAACAAACTCCTTCAGGTTCTTAAAAGATGCTACTAGTACATGTGTGTACATATATATACACACACACACACTATCTGTCACTTCTGTAAGGTTTTCAGATCTCTGGCTTGGGAAGAAGGTGACTTCATATCACTACTGGACCCAAGTTCTCCAGCATCAGAAGGGCCATTTTTAGGAGTATCACTTGCCAGAGGCATTAGTCCCACCCAATTTTTTTAAGACACAGCGGCCTATGGAAATGTTGCTCTG